CCCCAGGTTTACTCTCCTTTCCCTGGACTAGTTTTCTTCTTCTTGCCAGTACTATCTATACTCTTGCTGCTCCTGTTTTCCCCTTTGACTTAAAGAATGTGCTTAAGCACCTGACTTTCCATCAGCCAGGCCCAGGACAGAGGGGCACTGTTCTCAGTCCAGGTATTTCTGAGGACAGAAAAGCATCATGTGCCTGGGCCCTGACTGCTGCACTTTAAAAAAATATTTTATTTATTATTTTTATTTTAAGTGTACACATATATTGCCTGCATGTATGTAAGTGCACCCATGTCATGCAGTGTCCACAGAGGCAGTGTTGGAGTCCCTGGACTGGAGTTATGGATGGTTGTTAGCCACATATGGGTGCTAGGATTCAAACCCAGGTCTTCTACAAGAGTAGCCAGTGCTCTTAAAACACTGAGCCATCTCTCTAGCCAATCCCGTCCCTCTTCCCCCCACTGTACTTTTATGTGGTGAGCTGTAGTAGAAGCTGTATATCTCTGTTGCTGGAGAAGTGTGAGTGGTTCCCTTAGATGCCACAGCAGTTCCAGCATTTCTGCAGAGGACTCAGGGAGAGAATGGTCTATTAGGATGAACTATAAAAAAGTACCAGCTTAGGGCTGGAGACGTGGCTCAGTTGGTAAACTGCTTACCACACAAGCACAAGGACCTAAGTTCCATCCCCAGCACCCATGTAAAAGCTGGGTGTGGTGGTATGCAGCTGTAATCCCAGCACTGGGGAAGCAGAACCAGGAGGATCCCTGGGTTTCACTGGCTAGCTAGTCTAGCAAAATTGGTGAGCTCTAGGTTCAGTGGAACCTTGTCACAAAAAATTAGATAGAGACCAACTAAGGAAAACACCTGCTCTTGACCTCTGGCCTCCACATGAGTGCACATGCATGTAGATGTACACACATACACACATACAAATAATGAAAAGAAAGAAGAAACTGCTCACCTTTGGGGTCTGGTCACATCAGCAGCTTCCTAAGATTGCATCTAAATGCTGAGAAGGCAGAGAGGAGGGCCAAGGTCTGCCATGATGTCCTACAAATAAGCACAATAAACTCAATAAGCTGATTTTTCATCTAGGGTATTGTGTCATACAACATCAGTGGTCTACAGAAAAGAATAATATTTTCAGTATTGTTACTTTTTTTGTGCTCTTATTTGATGACTAGTACTCGAGGTCACATTAGAAACCATTGATATCAGCCAGGTGTGATGGTACACACCTTTAATGCCAGTACTCTGGAGGCAGAGACAGGTGAATATCTGAGAGATTGAGGCCAGCCTGGTCTACGTAGTGTATATAGTGAGTTCCAGGCCAGCTGTGGCTCCAGAGAGACCCTGTGTCAAAGACGAGAAAGGAAAAAAAAACAATTGGTACAGGTAGGAGGAGGAGGGAATCATCGCCTACTGCTACCACTTCGGCCCTGGCCACTGGCCCTCTACCTTCAAACTAGTGACTTCAAATGCCCCTTGTTGTCTTCCTGACTTGAAGAACAACATCCTTGGCCAATGTTGTTAGTTTCATAGATAAGAGATCTTGGGCAGACAATGTAGCTGTCACCATTTTAGTTTTGAAATGTCATGGCAAGAAAAGAAAAAAAAAAAACACTGTTAAAAAAGAAGGGCACAATTCATTGCCCAGTGGTATTTCCATCCATGCTGTCACTGCCTACCCAGATTTCTCAGAGCAGCCGCTGGCTCCATGTCATAGCTGAATGATGTAATTTCAGTTGTAATGTAATTTTCCAGCTGGCTAGGATGGAAAAGGGGTATATTATTGCTGCATGTTTTTTACTGTCTGAAAGAAAATGACAGACACACATAGAGACAGAGAAACACACAGAGAGAGATATGGACTGGTCGTGAGTTGAGTGCATTAAACTTGAAGGACAGATCGGGGTGAGCTTCCCCATCTCTGTTCTCATTTCTGTTTACATATTTTAGTGTATGGTTTCTTCCTAAAGCCTTCTTATTCTAAGTGCTGACTCATTGCTCATTTCTGAAAATGAATGACTGTTTATGAGAAAGAAGGCTACACTAAGGTGCTATAGTCAACCTTGCCCAGCTTCCATTTAGAATCAAAACGTCAAAAACTGTCTTTCTAGGTAACCCAAAAGAGTGGGCTTTGGTTGCCAGAAGTCAGCTATGGGCTTCCTAGGAAGCATTTTGCTTTCTTGATGAAAAGGGTTAGTGTTGCTGGCATAGCACCTGCACATTTATTCTATGTTCAACGTGCAAATGATGCCTGGAGCTGCCAGTGAGCTTGTGACCATGAGGTGTCAGGTATAAGGATGAACGGGAACATGGTAAGGAGCTCTGACTGCATTGGTGACTCACTTACTTAACCAATAACCCCAGCCTCTGTCTTCTCCAAAGGTCTCCATCCCAGAGAAGAGATGCCCTATGCTATATGTGCCAGACTTAGTTGTGTTTTCTGTTACT